TAGAATATTCTAGAATTTTCATGATAAAGGTTTTTAAGTTATTTGTATTTAGGTTTAATTACAACAAGCATTTGTTTTAAAATATAAATTCCAGTGTTATTTTTTTTTTCCTGTGGTATCTCTGAAGGTTGAAGAAGCAAATGAACTCTACAAAGTTTGTGTGACAAATGTTGAAGAAAGACGAAACGATCTAGAAAATACCAAAAGAGAAATTTTAACGCAACTCCGAACACTTGTTTTCCAATGTGATCTTACCCTTAAAGCTGTAAGTAACTTCATCACTGTTTTTAGAAAAAAGAGTCTGGAGCTGCAAAAAAGAGATAGATGCCTGATAAGCTATGATTCTTTTTGTTTGTTTTAGAATTACTTATTTAATTTTATTTGCTATTATTATTATTTTAATTTGACCAGACAGAGACAGAGAGAAAGAGAGAAAGGAAAAGTGAGAAAGCAAGCTGCCAGGTCTGGGGCTCGACCCGCAGTAGGCCATGTGGGAGTCCAGCACCCTAACCACCACACCTGCCGGCCCCAATGATTTTTTTAACTTTATTTATTATCATCATCATCATTATTATTATTATCTTCTAGTTTTACCAAAGTGGGGGGGGAGTGAGAAAGGAAGTCAGCAGGTCCAAAACTGGGACCGTGATTGGCCATGTGGGAGTCTAGTGCCTTTAAACACACGCTACCTGCAGGCCCCTGCCCCAGTGATTCTTAAGAGATTTAAATTCTGGGACCAGCAGTTGGCATAATGGCTATGTCCCTGGACTCCCATGTAGTCGATCATGGTTCGAGTCCCAGACCCAGTGGCTTAAACTCATGCTGAGAATGTGTATGTACATGCCCAAGATCCCAAGAGGAGAATGGAAGAGAAGAGATTGCGGCATGACCATCCCCCCGGGGTGGGTGGTGGTATTGATTTCTCACTTTCTTTTTCTTTTTGAAGAGGTTTTTGCTATAGGGCGCGTGCGCTCACCAGACATACAGAGACAGACAGAGAGACAGAAAGCGAGAAATCACACCCCACCCAGGGGGGATGGCCACGCTGCAATCTCTTCTCCTCCATTCTCCTCTCAGGATCTTGGGCACGCACGCACACGCGCCCAGCATGAATTTAAGCCTCCGGGTCCGGGACTCGAACCACGGTCGACTACGTGGGAGTCCAGCAACATAGTCATTACGCTAACTGCTGGTCCCTTGATTTCTCACTTTCTGTCTTTCTCTCTCTGTCTTTCTGGTGAGCGCATGCGCCATATAGCAAAAACCTCTCCAAAAAAAGAGAGAGAGAGAGAGATTTAAATTCTAAGATGAATGAATCATGTTGGTTTTGAAAATGGGCTTTTTAAAAATACTGATACATAATTTGAGTTACTTTTATTCTGTCTCACTCCCCTCCCCATGTCTCCTGGATTGATAATTTGGTAAAAATTGAAATCAGAAAATTTGTAATCGCCTCTAAGCCACTGTCTTTCTTGGCTTGGTTGACAAAATTGATTTGACCACTGAAACTTCTGTCAGTACTTAGATTTGTGTATTCCTTTAAAATTTTAGTAAACTAAATTTTAAAATGGAACCCAGTAAGTATTTTAAGACAGCTTCCTGCCCTCAGCATTTTCATTTACCTTTTATAAATATTTTCTGGTTAAAAAAGCATATGCCAAAAAAATCTTTTGGGGGGTGTTATCTCATGGGTTTTAGTAAGTATACATTTGTGTAACTACCTCAACAGTTAGAATTTAGAAGAGTTCCATCTTTCAGAAAAATCTCTTCCTGCTACTCCTTTGTAGCATTGACCCTAACCACTGGCAAGTTCTGATTTGCTCTCTCTCTCATTAGCTTGGTCTTTCCAGAATGTCACAGAAATGGATTCAAAGGTGTGTAACCTTTTGAGAGTGGCTTTTTTACTCAGCATAATCCTTTGAGACCCATCAATGTTTTATGCATGTATCAATTGTCCTTTTGTTTTTTTTTTTTATTGCTGATTCGTATTCCATCATATGACAGTACCACAGTGTTTGTACATTCACCAGTGGGGCGTCTGAGTTGTTTCCAGTGTGGGGCGATTATGAATGGAGTTACCGGAATATTTGTTTGCAGATTTTTGTTGAACATACTTTTTTTCTATTTCTGCAGTAAATGCCTAGGATTGGGATTTGCTGGTTGGTATGCTAAATATATGCTTAACTGTTTGACTGTATGAGAAACGATCAAATTGTTTTCTAGAGTGGCTATATTATCTTTTTAACAGTGTATGAGAAATTGAGTTGTTTTGAATCATTGACATTTGCCATTTGTTGTCTTGTAAGTTTCAGCTAGTTTTTTTTAGGTGTGTAGTGATATCTAATTATGGTTTTGTGTTTCCAGCATGGCTAATGATACTGAGTATTTTTTCCAGGGCTTATTTGCAATCTGTGTTTTGACCTGTATTTTCTTTTGTCTTCATTGAGTTCTTTCCTTATTGTTGAACTTGTATAGATTTTCTTCTATTCGGAAACTTAGCAGTATCTTCAGGGAGCAAATGTTGTCATTTCAACGGCGTCCATCTTTTCCATTTTTTCTTTTATGGCTCATGTTTTTGATGTTATATCTAAAAGCCCTTCACCTAACTCATGGTCACAAAGATTTCTTCTAAAAGTTTTGTAATTATCAGTAGAGATATGTGGTCAGTTTTGTTCATTTTTATATATGATGTAAGGTATAGCTGTAAGTCAGTGCCATTGAAAGAAGAACTCATTCCTTACATCTCCCAAGAGAAGGAGGCACTCCAAGTAGGGCTATAAGAGAAATACCAAGTTTGGCAGACAGGAGCCCAGATTGAAAGTAAAGTTGAGTACAGAGCCTTTATTGGGATTTTCTCAGGAAAGGCAAGGTGGACAAGGCAAACAGTTTGGGTTTTGGTTTTAATTTACTCGAGGGCACGTGCTTGTGTGTGTGGATGGGTGGAAGGTGTTGGAAGGCTGGTGAGGGCCAATGAGAAAGTACCCCTCCATGGGGGGTAGTCATGCTGCAATCCATTCTCCTCCATTTCACCTTCCTTTTGGGATTTTGAGCATGCACGTGGCTTGTGTGCCCATTAGATTTTCCAAGCCATTGGTCCAGGACTATAGCCACTCAGTGACTATAGCTGCCTTAACCAGGCCACCAGCCATTCCAGTAAACGGTTTTGTTTTTATTTTTAAAGAAGTAAGTAAATTAATTGTAATTTGACCACAGAGGGACAGAGTGAGAGAAAGACAGAAAGACAGAAAGTGAGAAAACAAGCCATCAAGTTCAGGACTCGGAACAGTGGTTGGCCCTATGGGAGTCCAGCACCCTTAACCACCGTGCCACCTACCAGCTCCATCCAGAAAACAGTTTTAAGATTGACTAGTTTGGGGAACCAGCAGTTAGCGTAATGGCTTTGTCACTGGATTCCCATGTAGTCGACCGTGGTTCATGTCCCGGACCTGGTGGCTTAAAACTCACGCCAGGCGCGTGTGCGTGCGTGCCCAAGATCCCGAGAGGAGAACGGAGGAGAAGGGATTGCGGCGTGACCATCCCCCCTGGGGGGTGATTTCTCGCTTTCTGTCTCTATGTCTCTGTCTGTCTGGCGAGCGCACGCGCCCTACAGTGAAAATCTCTCCAAAAAAAAAAAAAGATTGACTATGAAATTCTGGTGTGCTTTGGTGCATAGGGATGATATCTCATTGCCTGGTACCTGTCCCCGGGGTGATTCAGGTTAGAAGAAATAATTGACTTGGCATTTAAGACTTAGATAAGGAAGGGCTTGGGGGTGGGCAGGTGGCATGGTGATAAGGGATGTGGGGATATGGACTTGGGACTTGACGGTTTGCATAGGAAAGATATGATTCCAGTTGAGACCTTGGCTATTTCTAAGAATTGGCTAGGCCAGAGAGGAGGGTAGTTTCTCTTTGGCCAGCATTTAAGATGTTTAAATATCATAGAATACAGAAAATAGAAAACATGGTGCTTTTCTAATGCTGGGGCCAAGGATTTATCTGAAGTGGGCCCTGCTTGATTTGGCTCCCTTGAACATTAGTCTGTGCAGCCACTCACCAGTCTTTTATAGTAGAAATGATTGCTGGCAGTACATTTTTTTGGTTGACCTTCATCTGAAGATGTCTTTATTTCACCTTTATTCCTGAAGAATGTTTTGACTGAGTATAGAATTCTACATAAAGAATTAAGTTCTTTTACTGCTTTGAAAATATTGGTCTACTGCCTTCTGGCTTCCATAATTTATGAGAAATCCATAAGTTGAATCATTGTTTCCCTATTTGACAACTGTTATGTTTTGTTGTAATTTCTAATTTACATATAGCATTTGTATGTCTTTGTGGGGTACAGTGTAGTTTTTCAAAGTGTATATACTATGTGTAATAATTAAATCAGAGAAATAAATATAGTCCTCATCTCTAGCATTTGTCTCTAGCATTATATAACATGTTATATACATGTGAAATTTGCTCTACTGATTATTTTGAAATATATATTAAATTGTCATCAAGGTTTTTTACTGTGCTATAACATCCTATAATTGATTACCTTTGTTTTCATGCACTCTTATCTGTTAGCCAAGTTCTCTCCATCCTTCCCGCTCCTTTGCCCTCTATCCACTATTACACTCTACTTCTATGTGAGCAAGTCTTTTAGCTTCTGCTAGCAGAAAAGGACATTTGTCTTTCAGAACCTGGCTTATTTCACTAGCATCATTTCTTTCAGTTTCATTAATTTTTGCCTCAAAAGCAAATTTTGCCTCAAATAAAGGTTTTTTGTTTTTTGTTTTTTACTGAACAGTATTCCACTCTGTATATGTACCACACATATTTTCTTTATCCATTTATCCATCAGTCGTGGGGCACACTTAAATTGATTCTGTATGTGCAATAAACATGGAAGTGCAGATTTTTTTTGATATATTAATTTCCTTTCCTTTGAGTATATGTCCAGTAATGGAGCATAAGATAGTTTTCAGTATTTTAAAGAAACTCCATATTGTTTTCTATAGCGTGTGTTAACAGTGCATGAGAATTTCTCTCTCCAGTCTTACGAGCGCTTGTTATTCTGTTTCTGTAATAATAACCATTTTGACTGTGGTTAGGTGATAACTTCATTGTGGTTTCATTTTGCATTTTACTTATAATTAGCAGTGTTTAACATCTTTTCATATACTCTGGCCACTTATCTGTTTCCCTTTGAGAATAGTCTATTCAGTTCAATTGCCATGCCCCCCCCTTTTTGAAAATTTGCCATTGGGTATGTGTG